AGTGGAAAAACACTTAACATAGACCCGATTTTATTATGTTCACAACCATAGAAAAAATTTTCGTGTAGTCAATTCCTTTATTTTGCTAGAATTCTTTTACCACTAGTCGGGTTTGTTCACTTAGATCCTTTAGGATCCTCCTTTACTTGATACACTCATCTTTTGTGAAACACTTTCTTTCCACTAGGTAACTTAGTTAGTTCCCGTCTTTTATTGGAAATTCAATACTCCATAGTTAACATCCATCAGTCATCAACATGTAGTCCATGTGTCTTCTATTGGGAACATGAGGTCTAGTCGACCTTCTCAATGCAGGAGTAAGAGTTAGATTCTCTTATGTGTCTAAGAGTTTTTTTAATCCTAATTATGTTGATTCCTCCAATTTGAAACTTTTAAAAGTGGGACTTTCAAGGGTGATATCTACCTAAGCATGTAGAGGGTCACTTGATTTTGAGTAATTGGTAGTTGTGTAATACTTGTCTTTATACACCTCTTTCATTGAAGATCGTGTCTCTACTACGAATCATTTTTTTATTTTCATCATCCTAAATTCGATCGCTAAACTCATTCTCACCATAAATGATGAAAGTGCACCTCTTTGATTTAGGATCAAGTTTATTTTTACCTTGATCACTATGCACTTATATTACGCAGCCGAAAACTAAAAGATGTAAGAGTTTTACCTCTTTTCTGCTCTATAACTCGTCAGGCATTTTGTGATCCAATAAAACTGATGGACCACAATCGATGAAGTAAGCTAACATGTTGTCTGCTTATTCCTAAAACTGCTTTGATAAGTGTGACTTCATACGTATGCTTATGGATCTCTAAGGCAATGTTTAGTTTATATGATTCACTACACTATTGTGTTCGAGCCTCATGGCGTAACCGTATTCGTTTTAAAATTTCTTGAAAATGATGTCTTCATATTTACCACCATTGTTGATTATGATATTTTTAGTCTTAAATCTTGTCTCATTTTCCAGAATGGTTTTCCATCTCTTAAAATCCTTATATAATCCAGACTTATGTTTCACAAGTCACATAATAATTCTTTTTTTCTTTCCAAGTATATGGTTTTCACACATATTAATTTTTATTGATAGAAGAATTGGTAGTCTTCCTTTTGAGTGTATAACCTTCATTCGTTTCTCTCTCATATGGAATAATCTCAGGTGCCATAAATTAGGACTTTCATTTGTTGAAATTGCAATTAAATGACATGCTTCTAATATCTTTTAAAAAGTACAACTCTTCCTAGAGCGAGAAATCGTCATCACACCTTTTAATTTTTTCAATCATAACCATTGAAGAGAGTTGTGCACTTGTCACTAGCCAACTCGCCTATGAAGATTAAGTTCTTTATTAGGCCAGGAATATGTGAAAAAAATTTCAATTCCCAAATAAACCCATTTAGCTTAATCTTTACTTAACTTTTGCCCACAATCTCATAAGATTTTTTATTACCAATGCAAACTTTACTGAGGTTTTCAGAGAAATAATTCTTAAAGAATGTATCAAAGCATCACTTCTTCTAGGTTGAAGCAACAGTTGCTTCATCTTTTGCATCTTAATTCTTTGTTGAAATTATACACCAGTTTTTGTAGTGCCCATTATTTTCACATTTTAAACATTCGATAGTCTTCGAATTTTTGAAACTATAATGATTTATGGATTTCAGTTTTCAGTCCTTTTATTTACCACGTCAATATCCTCTGGTTGAATTTCTTCCTTTGCCTCTGTTTTTAATAGTAAAGATAATAATGATTCACCCACACTCTCTATTGGATTTTTTCACTGAGAATCAGATCACAAACATCATCATATTTAATCTATATACTTTCCGATGGGCTACTCACAATAGTAACAGTAGTATTCCAACTATCTCGCAGCAAAGACAAAAGTATCAATGCTCGTGCCTCATTTTCAAATTTGATTCAAACTTAACTTAATTGAATTGTGAAGATATTGAGCTTATTGATATACTGTGAATTTTAGGTGTCTTTAGTCATCTAAAGTGTAAACAACCGCCTCATCAAACGGATTATATTTTGATGCTAAATAATTTGCATATATCATAGAAAGAGCCTTCTTAAGAGAAGTTGTTGTCTTTTTCTTTGCAATGTTAAAATTAAAATTCTAAGATAGAGACAATCGAACAACGTCCAATGCTTGCGTATCGAGAATATTCAACTCATCTTCCTTCATTGAATTTGGATTATTTTTCATGTGAGGTTTATGTAGTTTTCTTTGACATATAATCTTCAATATACATCTTTCAAAAACTAAAGTCCATAACATCAAACTTTTCTCTTTTCACTTTTCCTCTGTAACCATATACTACACTAGCTCAAATCTGATTTCCTCAAGATTGTCTTTGAAAATTTATGCGAATCACTTGTCTTAGAACACCTCTCCTTTGTGAAAAATTGGTACCGCCAACCAAATTTTTGCACTATTCACAAAAAGATACTATTCATGTGTATAATACATATACTAGAAAAAATAACTAGCAACCATTCAGAAGCTATGCAAAATTTCTTCATATTGTCATATTTGCATAAGAAAAAAATAATGCTAAATTTAATATAAAGTAAAATATATAAAGTGTCTAATAACAAACACTGTCTCACAAAATCCACAACCTAGTTGCACCCAAAAAAATTTCTCTCTCTAAATCTTTCAAAAATAGGTGGGGCCCTCATTTAGGAATCATAAAGACCATTTAATAGTCATTATAGTCGATGCTCCTTGTTTGCTCTTACTCATTATGATCATTATTATACTCATTATGATCATTAATTTTCTTTGAACATGTTGTCTAACCCTAATTCGAATATTTTATCGGAGTTGGTTCTAGGCCAGCTTAATCGATTTGACCCACTTATTATCTTAGCTCAATTTTATTTTTCTAGATAGAATGCAAATTGGGTCGGTCTTTACCGACTCTAGATCAGAAGCCAATCCAATAGTTTTACGTGGCAGACGAGATTGTACATAGATATGACAACATAATCTATATCCACGGGTACCCACCCGAATCTGCCTCGAAGTTGACGGGAAAAACTCATTTTGACTGGATTTGAGTTCGAGTTTAAATTTTTTCTGATTAAAAAATATGGGGACGAATCGGGTAATAGTGATACTAGTACTCACTCTGAATCTGTTTCCGAACTCGCCCCATTTATTTCATTATGTATATTGTTATTTAGTTTAGTTAATTTATAATATTTAATATGTGGTCAATGTTTTAATATTTTGATTTGTATTAATTATTTAAAATATTTGAAATGTATGTATTAAATTTTTTGAGATTGTTTTATTTTATTATTTGTAATGTAATTTGATTTTGGATAAAATAAATATTTCTTTTTAAAAAACTTATACTAAATGAATAATGGTGGGGTGAGGATATCCGAACTCGTTTGAGATGATTTTGGGTTTTAATTTTCCATCTTCGTTTAGAAAATTTTACCTCATACCCCTACTTTTATGTCGATACCCCTACATTTTATATAAAATATCAATTTTACTCTTTTATATTTTAAACTAGTTTATTTATTTTTTAAATATTTTTAAAATTTTATTTTACGTACCGGAAGACTTTGCAAAAGAGTTCCGGTACACAAAATAAAAGTTAAAAAATATTTTAAAAAATGACTACCGGAACTCTTTTACAAAGTCTTTCGATAAACAAACATTAGCTACCGGAACTCTTTTGTAAAGTCTTCCGATACACGAAATAAAAGTTAAAAAATATTTTTTAAAATGACTACCGGAACTCTTTTACAAAGTCTTCCGATAAACAAAAGTTGACTACCGAAACTCTTTTGCAAAGTCTTCTAGTACACAAAATAAAAGTTAAAAAATATTTTAAAAAATGACTACCGGAACTCTTTTGCAAAGTATTCTGGTACACAAAAATTGACTATCAGAACTCTTTTGCAAAACTCTTCCGGTACACACAAAAAGTTTTAAAAATGACTACCGGAACTCTTTTGCAAAGTCTTCCGGTACACAAAATAAAAGTTAAAAAATATTTTAAAAAATGACTACTGGAGCTCTTTTGTAAAGTCTTCTGGTACACAAAAATTGACTACCGGGAACTCTTTTGTAAACTCTTCCAGTACACAAAAATTGACTACCGAAACTCTTTTGCAAAGTTTTCTGGTACACAAAAATTGACTATCGGAACTCTTTTGCAAAATCTTTCGTTACAAAAAAAATTTTAAACATGATTACCGAGACTCTATTTAAAAATCTTTCAGTATAAAAAAAATTATAAAAAATAACTATCAGAAGTCTTTTGCAAAGTTTTCTAGTATGCAAAATAAAATTTAAAATATAAAATAATAAATTAACTAAAATTATTCAAGGACAAATTTGATATTTTTTTATAAAATGTAGGGGCATAAGGATATATATTAGGGTATGAGGTAAAATTTTTCTCCGTTTGAATTTGAAACATGAAATGAGGATTGTTTAAGAATTCAGACTTAGGTTTACGCGAGATAAAAACCATTCTCGACACGCTCTGTGTTGCCATTACATCTTTGAAGCTTAAACTCTTGTGTTATATATTTATTTTACATGATGTACCCTTTGAGAGTTGTTGAATCATGTTTTAATGATGTATTATTGAGCCTAACTTTATCTATCCCGTATTTCTTTATGATTTTAGAAGTATACAAACAAAAAAATAAGTCTCTTTCATTAGCATAAAAACACTAATTTTTAATGTATATTTCTAAAGTGACGTTGAGCATGGAAAAAGTTAAACCCCGTGACTTATAGCAATTGATGCATGCAAAGACAAGAAAAGCTCAAAGTCCATCCACATTGTAGACATTAATTAATACGGACTCAAAAAATTATACATTAGTTCAAAACTAAGTTACATCTATATAAACTACATACACTAATATTGTTCATGTTCCTACATAAATATTAAATTATAACATATTATTGCATTACATATATAGGTAGTAAAGTAATTAGGTTCAAGACTTTGAGTTAAGAGGGAACTTAGGCCAAAGAAAAGCACCCATAGCAAAGTTTCTTTTGTAAGCCAAATCACCATTTGTAGGCAAACCATATTCCTTAAGGAGACTATCAAGCTTCCATTCAGGCATGTCTTGGTAGTCTTTTTCTGTGTATCTTGGATAGTGAAGAGGCATCTGAAAAAAGCTAACATTATTCTGTTTTGGACTCTCCATTCTCTAATGATATTTTCTTAATATATGTTGTTACTAGGGAAAATAATATTGTGTTGAGTAGTTGAAGAAGAGATAGTTAATATATATTTGGAGTGTTAATGTTAGGTTGATGGAAGGCTCTGTTGGCATGATAGTATCACATGAATGAGTTGGTTTACCTTCTCTCATGCATTTTGTAACTAAAGTGATCATAGCATAGCACGTGGGTACACTTATATATCTTTGAAGTGTAAGTTGAATATGACTTTTTAAAAATAAAAACCACTATTATTTATTTTGAGTAATATCATAGTTGCTTAATTGGTAACTACAAAGGAGAAATGACTAAACCAAACTATGTTAAGGTTTTGATAGCGAATTGAGTCATTAAGTGGGCTGTTTGATTATTCTCTCGTCTTAGTAAAAAGTCAATAATACATATGAAATGCAAAAATATATCTTCGGACGCATTCAGTTGACACACAATTCGTTCGTAAGTGAGTTAAACCATAAATTTATGTCAAAAAGTAATACAGAAATGCAATTTTCTATAAATTTTGAAAGTGTATTTTCATAATCTACATTTTTTTATTGTATAGTTGTGTGCATGATTCTTTCTGCGCCTTCGGCTCTTTGATAAGTTATTAGTGGATAAATGTATGATCATCCTCTCATTTGCCAAGCAAAGTAGAAACAATTCGATAACTGCAATTACCGTCACCCTTAACATTGACAATCTGTTCAATGTATTTGTGCGTAAAAACCGACATCTCTTCGATGTATAAGATTTTGGGTAAGGGTAGTGAAGGAGATAGTTTACGAATGCGAGTTCCTTTGAAAATATTTTTTTTGAGATTTTGAAGTTGAAGAATTCGAAGAGGTTTGTCACTAAGTTCAAAAGAGGAAGAAGATTGCATCGTTGAATTGTCACTTGGTGTTGGTTTGACCTTCTTAGAAGCACATTTTGTTTTACCAGTTGAGACCGTGGTTTTAACCATGTAGTTTTTGGATAAGCAACCTTCCTCGGTTGCTCTTTGATGTGGAGTTTCATGTTGTCATTAACTACCAAAAATCTCTCTTGTATCACCTCCCATTCGGTCAAAATAGAGATATTCAATATACCATCCTTCATCACACCATCATCATCATCATCAAAATTAAGCATTTTCTAGTGAATGGAATCCTCATCCATTTGTATTGGGCTATCATGAACCTATTTTGAGCGATCAGAACCCATTTTTTTCAAACTGTTTGGATTCGTGAAAAGTTAAATTAAATTTTGTTCAAGATATGTTGTCGACCAACTATGAATGGAGATTGTTGTCTCTGAATATGTATTCCTACTTTGTAATGCAGCGAGCAAATGATATGCGTACCTCATTATGCTGATTTTGGATCATTGGTTCGCATAGTTAAAAACTCTACACAAATCACATTTACTATTTCCCAACCGATTCTTCAATGTAGCATGGATATATTCAACTTCATTTGTTATTTTATTTCTAAAATGTCTAACTTGATCACTCCAAGCACAAACAATCTTCTCCTTTACCTGGTCTAGAATTGTACTTTCAACATATTGTAAGAAATCTGAATGTTTCACAGATACCTTCCTAAAATGTATAACAGGATTGACATATAATTCTTGCGTAGAAGAATTTATTATAACATTTCATGCATCCATTATTCTGTCCAGTATCACGTTAGCTTGCACCATTTTCCATCTTCATCCTTAATTTGTTTGGTCCCTACCTTAGATTTAAGTCGGCTTCTCACATTCTTTGTGATGTAATACCTACAAAATAATGTGTATGAAGTAGGAAACACATTTGCAATCGAATTCATGATTGTCGTATCACGGTCAATGACAATGACCTTCGTGTGTTTTCTTTGTTCTTAAATATTTCCAGACACACTTCTAAAGCCCAAGCAACGTTGTCCGCTTTTTTCGCTTTCCAAAATTGCAAACCCAATGGAATAAGTCTTTTCGGTAGAGGTAACACCAAAAACTTTCAATAGTGGAAGTATGCATTTGTTGGTCTTATACGTTGAATCAATGATGAGTATAGTGGGAAATGCGTTGAATAACTTCATGGAATCAAGATTTCTCCATCCTTGCACAATTGTTACCTAGATACATAATGATTATCATCCAGAAGTTTCAACAATTGATGCATTTCAGTTTTATCTCATTGTTCTTTTTTATTGGATGTATTAGGTAAAACAACATATGTACAAGATGTATTTTGTGCAGAGGAAGCGTGTGGAACAAGATGTTCCAGCATGTGTTCCAGCATCTGACCTCAGTTTGTTAGCTAGATTTCATAAAGAAATCTGAGCATGATTGTGTTTGTTCCTAAGAAGATTTATTCAGTCCAAGTTTTTGCTAAAGCGATAAGAGAAATATTTGGTTGTAATAAACTTGTTGAGTAAGATGTTCAACACATGTTGTGTGACATCTTGGTGTAAGGATTGGGTTATGATCATCTTCAGATTTCCTTCAGAATTATTATGGTGTTAATTTCTTCAAAAGATGCAGAAGTTTGCTTTTGGGAGAAATTTTTTTTAAATCCAAATCAATTTGGAAAAGAATTGAATTTGATTTAGTTAAAGAAGATTTGATTGGATTTGCTTTGAAGGAAGATTGGTTCAGATTTATCGTATCAAAGGTTTACTTTACAAAAAAGAGTTGATTAGATTTGCTTTGATGGAATATTGGTTCAGATTTATTGTATCAGATATTTAATTTACAAAGAAGATTTATATTTCATAAAGAGAGTTAATTTGGATCTTATGGTGAAACATGTGGAACACCATGTTCCAACATGCATGTCATGTAATATCAGACCCTTGTCAGCAGGCCATGATGGATGTTGACAGATGTAAAATTTCTGATTATTTTCAATCAGATTTGTTGTTGTATTTTAGCAATGCATTTACATGGATTTTTTTGTTAAAGATTGGCTGATATCAATTCAATTTAAATGGATATTTAAATTTGAAATTAAATAAAAATAAATCATATCTTTTGGAGGCTGTTAAGAAATGAATCAAAATAAATTCTCTTATATTTTGGGACGAGATCAAAAGTTACTGATGCCTATTTGAAAAAGCCCATAAAAAGCATTGATATTTAAGGAGACACAAACCTCACATTTGAGGTACGCATGTGTTGAAGGCTCTTTGTGTTAGAGTTTCTACTTTTGATTCTTTGTTTGAATTATGATTGTGGACCACTCTAGTGCCTGAATTCATATATTAAGGCATAGAGTTTGGTTTTTAGTTGAGTTGTAAAACTTTGTTCCAAGATGTTAACTATATAATTTTGAGAACAAAGTATTTGTGTTAGTTGTGCACCATGATATTTCTTCATTCATAAGGCATAATAGTTGTTTTTTTTGTTGAGTTGTATTCAACGTTCATCATTGTGTTTATTGATGTTGATCACTTGAGATTAGTGATTGAGAGAAAGTAAGAGAGAGTTCTCATTTTTTGTGGGTCTCTTAAATAGAAAGACGCTAGAGTATAATTAAGAGGAGGTGCATTAAATAATGAGATTGTTCATCTAAGTCACTTTGTACTAATTTTATAGAAGAGTGGATTTACTTTCCTGGGTAGAGTCCCCCTCAGAGGCAAGTATGGTTTACATTGAACTGAGTTAAAAATGATTGTTTTCTTTATTGATTTTCTGCTTCATCATCTTGTATAAGTTAATTTGTCATAACTTAGTTGTATAACTAGTTTTTACTATCTGGTAAACAATGTCCCAGTTATCATGTTTGACATCTGTTACCAGAATTTGTTATATATCATAAATCGGTTATTCACATTTTCCCAGACATCTGGTCCAACATATGTCCTCGTGAGAATAGAAATACATATCCCCTATTATCATCTTATTATTTCGAATACAAGCACTGTATACTTGCTTGATATTTGAGATATTTTTTTATTCTTTTAAGCTTCAAAGTTGAAAGTATGTTTTTGGGTTGCACCATGTTCAATGTCATGTCAGAAAAGATTTCCTTCTCTTTGAGCATAAGGCGGAATGCAATGGGATGACCGAAGAACTTGTGACATGTGTCATGATTATGTGTACCACAAATCACATTAAATCTCAATTTATTATTTTCCAAAAGATATCCATATAATTTAAAAGGACAATCACATTTCCTCTAACCGCTATCATCTCGTTTCAACTACTAGAGAGAACACTTCTTTTGCATCTCAGTGTCACAAATGCAAGTCTTTTATCTAAACCATTATCTGACCTTTTTATTATAACTCTGAACCTCAATTTGGATGCCTTCGTGAGGATTCATTGTGGCATTTGATGAGGAACATCAAACTCTTGTCCATTTGTAAACTCGTTGTCAACATCTACTTGACATCAACAGGTTTGGAATTTATATACACAATAGGTGTGAGGATAATATTAGGGTGCACCATATATATGACAAAAAATAATACAAAGTATTTAAAAAAAAATCCAAACTAAACTCTGAACTATTATGGGAATACACTTCCGTATGAACTCACCTAGAATCCTGAAGTGTATTTCCGAACACAACATATATTTTTTCAACTCAAAAACCATATTAATGTCAGAAATGAGAAATGAAATGCATGAACTTTACCTTAAATTTCAACTTCTTTTAATCTTTTTGATGTGATGAAACACAAGAACAAAGTTTTTTAGTACAAAACTTGATTGAGAATGGAATTGTGTGTTTTAAGGGTTTTGAGAGAAAATTGTATTTGATCATGAGAAGAAGTACACACATGATCTTGCTTTATTAAATTTCCCTCTTGTCATTTCTGGAAATGCATTTATGGAATTGTAACTGACATGCAAAGGTGGTATTTTTCAAATTCCTGCCTCACAAATTTAGAAGTATACGTCCATAATTGTCACTGAGTTGTTAAATTTAAAAAAAATATCATTTTGTGGGATAGATCCAAAGATTCATTTCCTAACTAAATTTTATATTATTAGACATTATCTTTATTTGAGTTTCGCC